TTTTGGGGTTTTGTTTTTGTTGGGGGGTGGGGGGGGGGCACAATGAGTAAAGCCTAATAATTTTCATAATTTTGTGATTATGAATTTGTTTTATGTTTTCTTGTTTTTGATGATCTTTTACATTTTATATTGTTTTGACTTAGGTTTACTTTAAATATTACCTTTTTTTGTAAGCTAGAACAGCTCAAATAGAAGTTTGTTATAAGTTTGTTGTAAAATTTAGTCATTCTAACTCAATTTTGTTTTGTTTTCTAGCACAAAACTACATCTTAAAAACAAACTTTCTGAATTCTGACACAATAATCATTATATGATCTTTAAAAGTTTAGTTATCGCAAGAAACATCATTTACGTCCCCCCTCACCAATCCTCATGATATGTTATAAGTTGAGAATGCCTTTCAAAGAGTCCTATATTCTCAAACATTTTAGGAGACAACTTCTCTCTCCTCGTCCTTCCTACGTACGCATAATTTGATCACCACGAGAATGAGTTAATTCCCTAAAGTCTGATATTCATAAACTCCAGTTTATAACAGCTCTTCTGAATTTATAGAAAACAGTCAAGATTATGCTTAAATAGCGGACTTCATTTCTGTGTTAAAATATGTAATCTGTGTCAAAATTTGTTAAAAAGGAAAAATGAAGTCAAAAGATGTATGATGTATACTTAGAAGAAATCTTTAATTAAAATGTGCAATGCTTTATTTTTGTATTTTTTTAGTGTGATTAATTGCTATTTAATTCAAAATATCGAAATGTGGATTTTTTTTGTCTAACTAATTTTTTTGTGTTATCTTATGGTTTGCCAATATTTGTTATACATCTATAATATATATATATTTGGCTTGTATTGGTGTTTGTTTGTATCAAATAAAAACTAAAACGGATGAACCGATCGGGCCTATTTTTTTTGTGGCAACTGACATTGACCCAAAGAAAGTATATGGACCGTGAAAATTGGAAATTTCGATATTCTTCATTTTCGAAAATGCACAAGTTTTAATAGAAATATCCGTAAAAATTTTAAAACGATTAAAAATTGCGATTTTTAGATCAACAGTTCTAATTTAAAATCGTTAATAGGAAAAGGGCTCAAAGCGCTCTAAACCCTAGTATGAATCTAATTCGTTTATTCTTGAATACAGTGCTAATCTAAATAACCTGTAATAGTGTTAATTGATTGAAGACTCTAAATGCATGTTGGTGACGTTGATAGATAACCTAATTTAGCAATATTATTTTAAAAAAACAATAATGAAAATATAGCTCCATGGTCCTGCCATTTCCAAAATGTGGTCTGCCAGTTTTTGCTTTTAGAATATCCGATATATTAAGAATTTTATTTAAATTTTAATTTCTTAAATTAGCCATCAAAAAGTTTCATTTTAACAAAATCATAGATACTCCGGTAATTATAAAAGCAAATAAAGGGCAGACCACAGGTTATCAATTAGTTAATATTATTCCGGGTTATTTAGATCCGCACTGTAGTTATTTTTCAATTAACTCTACAATAATTTAGATACATTTAACTTGTTTATTCGTTATAGCGTTTTATCTAAAGAGCTTTTTCACTCTAGTTTCTTATCCTCTGAATTTGGATTATTTTGGTGGACCGGAAAACCAACATTATTATATCAAACATAACATTTTCCCCACACTGAAACATACTCTTTCTTTATCATATTTATAGTTACTAGGCTTTTAGAGCGCTTCGCGCCCATTTTCTATTTAAATTGTGAACATGTTATTTTTGTTTACATTTTAAAACAAATAAGAAAAATTTTTTGCGGATTTTCAAGAATTTAAATTTTTTTACAAAATTAAAAACCTTCGCATTTTTTTATCATTCATAAACCTTCCCTGTGGTCACGTGATGTCCCCAAAAAAATTGTGCCTGATCGGTTCAGCCGTTTTGACGTTTATTGGATACAAACAAACAAACACCCAGACAGACAAACAGAGAGATACGAATGGATCGAAGACGATATAAAAAGTCATCTCTTTGTTCTCGTGTTTATTTTACTCAGGACTTCTGGATGTTTGATTTTGATTGTAGTTTTTTAAATATAGCTTTCAACAAGACAGGTTGTGGTTATCCTGTCAACATTTCCCTGAACCTTGCTTTATCGTGTTCATTGTTATGAAAGGGATTAAAGTTAAAGAGCAGTTCACCATTCGTTCTTTTTCCAATCGTTCCATAAACGTTTTGTTCCGTCCTGTTCTTGGTGTTCTTAGTTGAGAACGGTTCCATCTTGTTCCGTTCCGTTCTTTTTTTTCTAAGTCGAGAACGGTTCCATCCCAAGTGTTGATATATTATTTTTTCCAAATTGGACTCCCTCTCAATACTGTAGTGTAAGCGTAGTGTAAGCGTAAAAAATAGAAATGGAAACGTTTTTTTTAAAATACTATATTTTTCATAGGATTTATTACATAAATAATAATATATTGATTAAAGCTGTTTAAGTAAAACTTTCTTAGTTATGGTCAAAAGTATTTTTCATTGTATGAAGATATTATACTTAAATAGAATACATGCTTAATTTCATGTGTAGAGTGGCATGTCTGATGTACATTTGAAACCTTCATTTCTCCATCGTTTCTGAAGAATTGAAATGCATGAGTCACTTTTGTAGAAAAATCACAAATAAAAATAATCAGTTTTCAATATGTGAAACTAGATATTAAATGCAAGAAAAAATCTTTGAAGGGTATTGGTGAGAATTAAATTTATGTCTGTGGTCACTTTAAGCCTTTAAATTGATTCTATATTAATTAAACTGTTTTGCAGGTTTGTGAACTTTGAAGAAATGGAAAAAGAAATTTAAAAATGATTTTAAAAAAAAGATAATGAAAAACTTTAAAAGTACTGCCTCCAAAATCAAGAATCCGAGGTTTTTTTTTCAACCAATCAACAGATGTAATATTAAATGAGCCCCCCCCCCCCTATGCGTGCGCCCTTCCTGATAGGGCACACATAGGGGGGAGAGGAGCTGTGCCCCCTCGTACGCCCCTGCACGTTCCTGATTTAAAATGCGTTCCCAACTAGAACGCTTTCAATTAATAAGAACGCGTTCCTGATTTTAATGTTCTATTCAAGCAGTTTCCGTTTTTTCCACGTTCGTTCTTTTAATAATCCTTCCAATATTTTTAAGAACACGTTTTATGTATTTGTTATTTTTTCGGAATAATACCATTGTTCTTGATAATTCTGTTCGTTCTCGTGAAAATGAACGACGCCCAGCCCTACTGTTGACATATTTGACACTATTTAGTGATTTGATTTCTATTTCTGAACATTCTAACGACAATCACACTAAAATCAATTGGATAAATTTTAATAAAAATACTGCCTAAATCATCCTTCGAATTAAATTGTGGACATTTGTAAATATGCAGAAGCAGAGCTTAAAACCTCCCTAAATTATGAAAATTGCATCATAAAATTGGTTTTTTTAGAAAACGACTGAAAAAGAAGTCAATCAATTCACATTCAGATGTCAAATTTTTTTATCAAATGTATCTTGTCTCTGGGTATGACCCAGAACACCTATATAATCTTTTCTTAAGACTCGTAAAAAATATCTTGCCATTAGAGTGCAAAAATTCATTTGTATGCGAATCATGTACTTACATAAAGGTTCCGGCATTGAGAAATTACCTTCCAAACTATAGGTAAAAGTCTGTTATCTGGCTCAGTTACATCTCAACATATAACATTTCGCCATATTACAATTTGCCTAAGGTACATCTTCCCATAAACAACTCGCCTAAGTACTATTTCCCCATATAACAACAACTCGCCTATATAGATTTTATTTACATTCTTCAGCTATATTAATGAATACATAGATACGTATAAATAAGTAGATTTAAATTTAGTTTCCTCGTTGAAGTTCATGTCCAATCATTTGAATGTATTCTTGAGGAGGGGTGGTGTTGAAGCTTGTCACAGAAACTTGATCCTTTGAATGTTGTCCAGGGCCGCCTGCTTCCTGCCTGTGTTTACGTGGATGTCCTGACCGACAGAGTTTGACCGAAACACACGTCGTGTGTTTGCTTCCTGGGATCTAACAAGCTTTAGAAAGTCCCAAACATTTGTCTTTGCTCCAACTAAACTGTTAATCGTCCTGTTCTAGCTCTCAGGCATATTGTTGGTCTATGGACCATGCCCTGCAGTATAGTTTCATTTTGATTCCATAAATTTGGACCAAACAATGCAGAATTGCCTCCTCTACGCTCAATCCAGGTTTTGCGGAATGATATTATCTCATGGTGAAAGGTCTCAAGTATACTATACTAATTAAATTACTGTAGATCTTTTTACATTTCCTTGTTATTTGATACTTTTAATAAAAACTAATTCTGAAAACGTATTCACCCCCAAAGTAGGAGTTTTGAACATCGAATTTTAATTAATGAACAGATCGGGATTAAGGATATCCCATTCTAAAGTTTTCAGCTCTGAACCTATTGAATATATTTAATAAAATTTTACCGGGATTTTTGTATATAAAAGTTTTTAACACTTTATTGGGTTTTACGGTTTCTTAGATGTCTATATGAATGTTCATTATAGGGCCAGATCATTAAATCTGTTATCGTTCATTCTGGCTTTTTGCTAAAGCATATTAAAGTACCTGCTGGAAAACAAGTTAGNTTGTATACTGTATTACTGTGTGTTTATGACAATACCACAATACCCACAAAGGACTGTTGTATACTGTATTACTGTGTGTTTATGACAATACCACAGATATTTTTTTATTATCGTAAACATTATTGAGATCCTTAATTATTTTTTTAGAAACCGAGAAACAGATAAACGAAACCGTAACAAACAGTATGGAGATTATTGAGCTACTTGCAAAATGTAAGTATAACATGTTTTTAAAAAATCAATCAATATTTAATTTAATGATTTAATTATGCATAATAGATATTTTAATTTTTATATTTTTGGACACCAATTTAAAATACCTACAGCTGTACGCGGTCCCGAGTCCGAGCCCAAGCTTCAGGCCCGTTTTGAGACCAACTAGTTTGTAGGAGGAAAGTAAGATATTTAATAAATTAATATTTATTAGATTAAAAATAATTTTGAAATATCAATTCAATGTTGACTTGTGAGCAGCCTTTAAACGGAGCCAGAGCTGCAGTCAACCCTGTCAGACCAAAGTAAGATACTTTATAAATTAATATTTATTGGTTAAAAATAAATTCAATGTTAATTAATTTAATATTAATTATAGACTCGTGAGCAGCCTTCAACGGAGCTAGAGCTGCAGTCAACCCTGAACCTCAACTATTCTGTCTGACCAAAGTAAGAAACTTTTATTAATTAATAGTTTTTAGAATAAAACAAATTTGAAATATTAATTCAATTATAATTATAGACTCCCAATCAGCCTGTAGATTAGAAAATAGTGAATTAAGCCAGCACTAAACTTATCATCTTAAAGACAAGAGCACTGAAAGCTCTGAGGAACAACTTTATCCAAGGTAATTGTAATTGGTTGAAAATTATATTAATTCATTTTATTTTTAACTGAATTTTTAAAGATAAATATTAAATTTTAAACATTTTATTTTTAGACAAAGAGAGATATGTGTCCCTTGAAATCAACTCCGCAGTTATGGGTAAGTTAAAAATTTACAAAGCAAATATTAATATTACTAAAATACTTTATTCAATTTGATTAAATTATTTCATATTTTTAATAAATAGTTACTTTCCAGGCTGGCAGAACAGGTCATCCTAACCTGAAGCTCCCCCGAAAAAACGTATGTAATACTAACAATAATAATAATAATACAACTAATTTAACTACAGGTATAGTTCAACAACAGTTTACAACAGTTTACAACGACTGTATCCTGAAAAAATAATAATAATAATAATGATAATAATAATAATAATAATAACTAAATTTAAAAATTGTTCATAATTATTTAGAATTGTTCGGTGGCTACGGAATCATGGAGGATTGTAGAGCAATTATTCTACAACATATTTAATTAATTAATTCATCAATATTTAATTATGTAAATAAATAAACGTGTACCCCCTGAATTGACAACGACTGTGAAGAACCAGTCAGGACGATCAGGGCATAATTTTTTGATGATACCCTCAGGACATACTAAAGATGCTTCTTAAGGACGCCCTCAGGGTGTCCTAAAGAAGCTTCTATTTAAGTGAATATAAGACGAGTGCAGGGAGGAGTGGGGGTGGAGAACAGCTTTAAAACAGCTGCCAGAGAAACACATGTGACTATTTACAGACAAAAATACGAACACACACAAGGACCCCTGCAGAGACAAATGCCATTAGTAACCTGATACCCCAGTTCATGAACAGCGTCCTGAACAGCGTCTTTCCGGTCTAAATATGACTATCTTAGCAGTAGCAATTAGGAATCTAATCTTGTAAGTCAATTTTAGACTTCCTTGGTCGTCTCTTGTTCTTATAGGGCTTGATGTTATTATTCCATTCCAGTCATATGTTGCAATTTCTTGAAGGATCTTGACTGAGATTGATTTGCTCAATAAGGAGAATACATAATTTTTAACATTTATTATATTTTTTGATTATCTTTTATTATGGCTGTATAAAATGAAAATTATGTTATTTTATGTGGTTCACATTGTACTTTATCTTTAAAGCTTGAGGTACAGAAAAGTATCATGATCCTTGAAAATTCAAGATTCTTCCATTGGTTCAGGAGAATGGTTCAAATTTGTATAGCAATCTTCTTCTTTTTTAGTTGCTCAATCTTCTCTGATATCGCTATGATCCTTCATGTTTGATATCGCAGCAATTTCTTTTAATTTTCTTAAATTTTCATTGCCAGTCTGCTCAGCTAACTCTGCTAGAACCCCGTCTTCCTTACAAAGAAGATTGTACGGAGTATCAAATTCCACAATCTAAACAAATAATTTTAAAAATTAAAGATTAAAAAATTTCTTAAAAATATTACTCAGCATAAATTTTTTTTGAAATCGATTTAAAAAATGGCAGGTACAACTTTCCCTTTTTAGTTTAACTATGTTTAGTTACTACATCATACTTAAAATAAAATAAAAGTGAATCAAAGCCACATTTTTGTTTCCTATAAAAAAGTATAAAGTTTGAAATCTGTATTTCCCTAATCTTTGTATGAGATATAATAAATTTCTAATATAAAATAATTTTACAGTTAAAATAAGAAGTCTAAGGTTTTATCTTGTTATCTTTTAATTATAAACAATGTTCGTGTGCACTATCATAAAAAAATCATGGATTTGTTGTATAATGAATAACAATTACATGTATATTGTTTATTTTATTAATTAGATTTGTAAAAACAGTAGCGCAACTAGGGGGGAGGTGAACCTGATCCGGATTCTTGACATAAAATTTAAAATCAACGATTCATCGAATATAAAAATATTTTATTTAATTTGTCATCTTGAACTTTTCTTTGAGTTGATGTCATTGAAATTCCTGCTCAAACATTGTTTTGAAAATCTTGTCTCGGTTTTACCTTTCCGTCTCCCAGCACAAGAATTCTATCTGAGTCCATAATTGTGTTCAATCTGTGAGCTATGGTAAGAACAGTACAATCTCGAAACCTTCAAATAAATTCTCTAGTAAAACATTTGTAAACAATCATGTTTTCTAAAATTTTACATTTTGGGTTTTATAAACTTTTTTTTTTATTTCAAAAGTTGAATTTGAGCGATGTTACAGATCATAATCAAATCAATATTACAAAAAAAACTTCAATTATATTTTCAAGGTCTTTTTTTTCGTTCAATCCTACTTTGCTAGATTTCTAATTGCACAGTTGCATTGTGTACTAAAAGAAGGATGAGGGAGGGGGGGCTTTTCCCCAGAAATCATATACTAGGATTTGGCCTAACTAAAAATCTGAAATGTTTAAATACGATCATAGAGTAATAAAACGAGGAGGTGAAGCTTAGCTCAGATGTACGGTTGTGTACCTCCCTATTAATTATTTAATAGAGTGGTCGGTTGTATACATCACGATATGTTTACGTATCTAACGCTGTACACTTGTACATAGAGTGATCGTATTT